AGGGAGTTCCTTTTCAATGGATGAGTTTCTTCGAGTACACAGAGAATGGTGTGATCTACACCGATAGCTCAGTTCCTATATCACTCATTTCTTTTGATACAATGCTTCACCAGTGTTGTTCTCTCTTTCTTCTCTAACTTGTTACACAACAGGTCTTAGTAGGAGCTACAATATTTGTTTGTATTAGAACAAAGAGAGGGTGTTTGGTTCGATCAAAGTATATTTGCTAAGGTGTGATTACAAGTTTAAATACTTTGAGAGAGGCTTGAATTCTGGAGAGAATTGCCAACCCAGGAGATTTGATCCTTGGAAAGAGATTGATTCTTTCCAAAAATAAGGTTATTCCACAACGGTTCTATCTGATGAGAATCTTTAACGATTTTCCCTTGTGCGCGATCCCAAAATCTTGATCCTTCCAGATTTAGATTGAGCCGTTAGTCAATAATGGCATGGATGAGCCATTTCTTTAACAGCAGTGGCATGAAATGAGCATTTTTTTAACGGATGGCATAGATAGACCATTTCTGAAAGTTGAGTGGCATTTTTAGGCCTTTTCCGTAAGTAATATGATGCCTACAAATTGTATAGAAACTAGCCTATTGCAACCATAGCCACTTTCTGCATTTGCGCATAATTGATCGCCATAATGTCTCGTAAAAGTGTAGTGCTCCAACCTTGTGTAATCCAACTCCAATGCGTGAGATAATCTCCTTTGCATATTCAGTTCAATGCGTCTTGTAAAGAGGTGGCTGTTTGGTAAATTCTGCACTGCCCAGTACCATTTGCACATGCTTGTTGTGCATTTTGGTCCCCCCTATTTGATGGACAATCCTTGTGTGAATGAACCAGTTTTCTCCCTTCCTGTGTTTTTTGTGTATCCTTCTTGATGTTGGTGAAGAGCTGCTCCATTTGTTGCTGTGCATTTCTTGTAAAAATCCTTCTGAAAAGTCCTGTCTCGACCATTTGAGCATGATGATCTGTTCTGGCATGCCTATTGTGATGTAGTTTTATTGTATATTACAGGCCCCACCATCTGTACTTTCTTTGTAAATCCATTGTTGGAATAGTGACCAAGGGAATATTACTTGATTTTTACATCCCTTAACACCCCTTGATCCCATATTGTTCAGCCAAAAACCTATCTTTGTAGTTGTTTTTCTGCTATTTTTTCTGGCAGTCTCTTGTTGCTATTCCATTTTTGTGTATCTATTAGAACTAATAAGCAACAATTCTTCAAACTTAGTTTTAGGACACTGCATATGTTGATAAAGAGCATAGACTTATGAGAACAAGTCCCTGCAGAGTTGACAAACCATAGTATCCTAAAACTAAGCCTTGGTTCCATGCTTGGGTCTATCCTCGATTTCCCTCCAGTGGAATGAGTACATTTTACTAATACCACCACACCACATGAAAGTTCCTCGAGGAATAGGGCATACACACAGTAACTTCTCCTGCAAAAACGAAAACAGTGTTAGTGTCAAAAACCATCACTGTGATCTCTTCCATAAGGATTTGATCATAGTGACTGTACGTGTGATGTCCTTTTGCCTGGCTCCCTGTATATATTGCTGATGAAGAGAAATTTTTTGATGTTCTTATACTACCAAATGGGAGTTGTTCAGGAGAAAGGGCATGACCACAGTAACATTCCCTCAAAAAAGAAAAACTGGGTTAGCAATAAACATGATCAGTATACCCTCCTCCATATGGACTCGAGTATACTGATGTAGAGTGTTCCCAGAATTCCTCCAGCTCCTGTTACTCCTTTCCTTCTCCTCACCTAAGTTCTTGTAACTTTCACTCTTATGTATGGGCATTGTAGCTTATCACTATTCACAATTTTCCTCCCTTTGACATCCAGCTCCCAGAAACTATGACACTCCAAAGGACCCGTGTCAATAGCATAATTTGCAAGGTGGTCTGCTAGTTGATTACCTTCTCTCTGTGTGTGTGTGAAAGCTGCACATTACATCTGCCCGTTAAGGCCTTTATCTCCTCAATTTCTGCAGCAACTGTTTGAGTTCCTTACATGATTCCGTGCTTACATGCTACTTGTCTTAATTGTTGTAACTGCACATTTTGGTTGTCACGTGCTTCACTTATCCTGCTGCTGTTGTAATATTTGTTGTGGGTTCTGTGACTTTTACGTTGTTCCTTTATTGCCGTGTACTCATATCCTCTGATTGTAAACATTCTTATAAATTGAGTGTCGGATTGTTGTTATTAATTTAAATTGCTTATGGATCGGGTTGCACGTCGCAACATGTGAAATAAGGGTGGATTGATATTGATACGGTGGGATCAGGTTGTATGCTGCAACAGGTAAAATAAGGGAGGATTGATATGGTGAAATAAGGGAGGATTGTGATATTGACTCTGATTATATGGTGGGATCGGGTTACGCGCAACAATATATTTTATTTATTATTATTGATATTTACGAGTGGAATAAGGGAGGAATCTGTTTGTATGATGGGATCGGGTTGCCTGCAACATATTTTACTTATTATTATTGATATTTACGTGCGAAATAAGGGAGGAATGTGTTTGTATGGTGGGATCGGGTTGCGCGCCGCAACAGATTGTGTGTTGTATTTATTTCTGTAATGTTTTAGCTTTCAGTATTTAGCAAATGAGATTCTGAGAATGAATATTGTTGGATTTACTGATTTGAGGTCTGAGTTGTTTTCATTGGTTTACTGCTTGCCGTCATTCCATGCTTTCCTTTCCTATTACTATTATTTTGGCGAATTGATTTTCAAGACGAGTTTACTATGCTGTGCTAATATCTAATACCCTGTTGAGCTGTTTGTACCATAATGGTTTTAAGTAAAAGAATTTTTAACACGCTTACCTTACGTGACTCTTAAGCTAAAACTCGTCGTTTCATTTGGTACCTTACTATTCTTAATAGTTGTTTCATATTTCACTTTACCTGATTTCTCAATTTAAACTCTTTACCCTACCAGGTGTTTTACTTGGTTTAAAAATCATTACTATGTTTAATTTAACAAATTCTATATTTAACTCGGTAGCTTATCCGATGCTTTATTTTATTTTAAAAAAATATATATTATTTTCTTCATCCAAATGATTTCTAAATTAAGCTAATTTGTCTCATCTGATTTCCTATTTTATTCAAAGTTGTTATTATGCTATATTGTATATAGATAAATCCCTTGAACTTGTTAATTAGCATTTGTCACGGAGTCTATATACATGGTAGCACGTCGATTTTGCCGTGCGAAAGTGATTTGGAAAATGTGGGCAAAAGATGCCAAGCGTGTAAGGTTTGGAAGTTGTGACTTATGAGGAATGTTTTGATTGATTGAGTTGTCATGGGTTTTCCTTTACTTGAACCCATTCATGTTTTATCTGTACCCCTACTATGTATTCTCGTTGCCATTTGTACCCTACTATGTTGTTGCTTATTTACTTGGTTGTTTCTTGTTGCCATTAGGTGTCTTGACCTGACCTCGTCACTACTCTACCGAGGTTAGACTTGATACTTAACCACTGTGGTGTACTCAGCTACGCTTCTGCACATTTTTGTGCAAAACCAGGTACTTCGAATCGAGCTGGTTTTGAGACTTATGCCTGTGCGGCTGGAGACTTCAAGATACCCCTACTGGGCGTTCGCAGACTCCAAAGTCATCTTCTGTTGTATTTTGTTTTTCATTGTTCCTATTATTCCGACAGTGATGTAATGTTATTTCTAAAACTTTTAGAAAAGCTTGTGACTTGTACTACCGGTTTTGGGATGTTGCATCATGTTGAGATTATTGGCTTATTATAGAAACTTCTGTTTCATGCTTAATAGTTAATTGGTTAGAAATCTATTATTTAATCAGCAAGTGTTAGGCTTACCTAGTCTTAGGAACTAGGTGCCATCACGACTTCCTAGGAGAGGGAAATTGGGGTCGTGACAAACATCTTGTGATATCCGAAGATGGATAAAATAAAGGGCAGCCCAGTGCACAAAGCATCCCGAATTCTATGGCTATAATCCTCCCTTTTCTAAACAAATTGTTTATTCCTCCCTTTAGTTGCTATACTCCATGGATGTGATGGAACCAAATTTCTTTACTCCATAAGTGCAAAAAGTTCTATTAATTTTTTTAGTTTTCGGTTGTGTATGTGCTATTTGCAGACATTGTTATCGTTATGTAGCGCTATTTTCTTCTTCTCTTTCTAGTGACATGTTCTTCTGCTGAAATGGCCCGTTGTAATTCTCTCTGGAAATTAATGTGTATCAAGTCATTAATTTTTGTCATGTCTTGTAAACTAATGCAAATGGAATTCAATTTGTTGTACTTTTATAGTATCTGCTACTAAAATGCTCTTGTCAAGATGCTATTTTTGGTGTTGACTATTCTTTGATAATATAGTAACCAGAATTGCTCTGTGGCTTTTGCTATGGTATTAGTTCTGCGTTTATCTTTCTCCTGCATTTATTTGCCCGAGTCTCGTGTAGTTGCAGTGCTTGTGATGGTGGGAACATTGGGAGATTATAATATAAGTTGCTGCCAGAACACAATGACCCGAGAATTTTAAAGGGATGTACCATTGAAATCTAAGAGCCCTTTGCACCTCCAGAACGCGTCTATGCCATTTTGCTGAGGTGTGTAGATATATGATCAGTGAAATACTCCTGATAGTCATGAGTCACAAATTATGTTCTATTGTCTTATTTAAGCACTTTCACATTTATATTAAACTGAGTATGTACTAATTGCAGAAATGTTCTCAAATAACAATGACATCATTTTTAACTTCAACAGGTATAACCATGTCATCTGAGAATGATCATCAACAATAGAAGTAACAATGATCATCATTTTCTTCATTACTTAACTCCCACAATCTATATGAGTTATAGAAGTAAAACCTTCATTGAGCAAATGAAGTCTTTTGGCCTTTGCTTCATTAACCTTAATCTTATTAACCAACAAGGTAACAGGCTAACAACAGATATTATATGGTTGGTCGCACCAGTGTTAATTAAATCATATAGTAATATGCATTCAAGTAATAGTATTTCAAGAAGAAAAATTGAGAGTACTCGTCACATTTGCTGAAACAGTAAAGAAAATTACAACAGAGTAAAAGAAAAGGAGTGAAATAGCATGGAGAAATGCATCTTTAGCCTCAAAAGCTGATGTACATGCACTCTGCAAACTCTTTCACATAAAATGAAATGGAGGAGGTAATAAGTTCGTCTATACTCACATATTTTCCCTTGGTAAGAGCGCTCAAGACTTAATCACTCAACAACGACCTGAATCCCGTCAACAACGACCTGAATCCTGTCTTCTCCCGTCATATCTTCAACTTCTTGCTTAATCTTCAGGGCAGACGCTTCAAGTTGAGGGCTCCTCCACAGTTCGATACTTTTCAATGAACAAATATCCCCGAAACTAGGGGGAATCTCCTCAAGCTTAGGACATTCCCACGGTCGTAATTTCTCAAGAGCAGGAAAGGATTCCTCTCTAACCTCCCACTTAGCAAGAGTCACTCGCTGCAATGTCAAACATTTGAGATTCTGGAAGGTGTCTTCCTCTCCCAGGTTCCACTCTTCCCCCTCCATGATTGTGTCTACAAGGTACAGCTCTTCAAGCTCGGGCAGTCTTCCTATTGTTGATAGTGAATCAGATGTCAGAGGAAACTTAAGCAGCATCAATAGTTTCAAACTCAAAGGGAGGAAAAAATCCCACAACCGATTCGTCGCTACAGACGGCGCACTATCATTTGAACTTTCAAAAGTTAATTTGAGAGATTCTAGTACATTTAGAACGTCCAATTTCGGGAACCAATATCGTTCTGTAGAGCAATCCCAAGATTCCTTGAGATTAAAACTAAGCTCTTGAAGATTGGGAAACCTTTTGAAAAGATCCTCCGTGTCTTTCGAATAGGAAAGTTTGAGTCCCCATAATATTCTCAGCTTCTCTAACTTTGAGTCCTCTGTTATCGATATTGGTTCATCTGTATCTAAATCAAAGAAAGAACAATCATATATGGCCAGCACTCGCAGCTTTACAAGATTCCAAATTGTCGGTAGTAGTACCAAGGGTGGTCCATCGTTATTCACCCACAATGTTTCAAGATTCCAGAGATTTGAAAAACAGGAGGGCAGAAATTTAACTTCTGTCCTAATGTATAAGAACCTCAAATGGACCAATGTGCATATTTCATTCAGCAAAGAATCATTCACCTTGATAAAAGATTGATGCAGGAGCAAGAGTCTAAGAAGCCTCAAGTGCCTTAGGTGACATATATCCAAAAGACTGTCGTGCAACTCGTCTTCAGTTATGGTCAAAGAATAGAGGTGTTTACCAGAATGCCTTCTCTTTTTTGGATCGAACAACACAAAATTGCTATCCCAAAAGCGATCCTTATTATATTCAATGGCCATTTGACGTGGCATCAAATCTAAAGAAGAAGATGATGATGGAGCACTTGAAGTTATCAAGTCAAACAACTTTTCCTCTCTTGCTTTTATGGAACAAAAGTCATGCACAAGATCATGAATTTGGCAAGTTGGGTGTTTACCTCTCTCATTGAAAGAAATAACCAAGCTACTGGAAATTAAAATATCCAGATAAACCTCAACCGTTTCTTCCACACTCTTCATCTCTCTCTGTTCCAAAAATCCTTCAGCAGGCCATAAAAGTTTCAAAGTAAAGACTGTAATTGCTTTGTCCTTCGGAAAACTTGCAAGGTGAATCAAGCACAACTTTAGGTGATCTGGTAAAAGGTCATAACTTAATGCTATAACCTTCATCACGTCCACTTCATTCTGTAAAATGAAGGAATGCAAATTATTTCGAACTTGAAGCCAAACAGTCCTTTTCTTTTCCTTCTCAGCAAGGACTCCAGCCATCAGATTAACCACCAAAGGAAGCCCTTTACAATTTTGGACTATTTCTTTCCCAACATCCAGTAGTTCATCGGGGCAACTTCCATTTTCAAAGACCCTTTTCTCTATTAACTCCCAACTTTCTTCTGGCCTTAGCAATCTAAGGTCAAGAGGAACACTGTGGCATTGTGCATACAAAGCCACTTTCTTATCTCGAGTTGTCAAAATAATTCTACTTCCTTTCTTAGCTTCCGGAAAAGGTCTTGTTAACTCATCCCATGCTGCAATATCCCATAAGTCATCTAAGACGATAAGGAACCTCTTTCCAAACAGATGTTTCCGTAGCTCATTAGCAACATCAATATTATCTCTGTATTTCGAAGCTGAGCCAGTAACTTGATTAAAAATGTCCTCCAACAACTTCTTCTCGTCATATTTTTTATCAACTGTACACCATGAACGAATGTCGAAATGACTACAAACTGACTTATCATGATACACTTTGTAAGCCAGAGTAGTTTTACCCAATCCCGGCGTACCAGTGATCGAAATGACATCTAGCATTTTCGGTCCACTGGTGAGCTTACTAATAATCAAATCTGTCTCCTCTTTAAAACCTACGATTGTTTGACCAGTTGTTAAAGACTTCCTTTCAACATGCTTGGTGGGAGACTTCACAATAATGAGGCCCTTATTCTTTTGAATCTTGTCAAGTAAATTAGGGACCTCTTCTTTGGTAAGCTTGATTTTTCTTATGACAAAAGGAAGTGAGAAAATAAGATGTAAGAGACCATTATCTCGTACGATAATTGAATCAATGACATCTTTTGCCTCAAATGCCAAATCTAAAACACGTGCCCGGAGATCTTTATAAAATTCTTGCTCAACATTTATCAAAAAAGATCTTATGAATTCTAGATCTTCTTTCACCAGCTTAATTTCTTCCTTTATCAATGCAACTGAGTAAGCATTGGAATTGAGCAAATCGTTTAAGTGGCTGAGTAAAAGATGCATAAAGAGGGATCCATCACTCATAGGGAAGTATAGTTGAGACGAGTCTGGGGATTTTAAGTAAACATGTTTGAGATCTTCTTTCATGAGTTCAATATTTTCCATCAAGTCCAAAGTTGCATGGTCAATGGTACTCTCTTCATTTCTGGAATTCTCTTCTAAGTAACGAACAAGAGTTGATACCTCCCTGATAAGTTCTCCAACATGTGCCAAGAGATCAAATAATTTGTCATGATGAATAAACTCCTTTGGCATATTAGTAAGAATGATTAATAGGAACTCTATCATGACATGAATGTTTCGAGCCTCTGAAGTGCTAGTAGTAATAACATTTACCATATGCACTTGTAGATGAATGAGATATTCTCGAAGAATGTCTGGAGAGGTTTCTGAGAGATGCTCAATGAAGCGTCCAACTTCTGCTGATGTTGAAGATTTCAAATTTTTATGACACATGTGCATAACTTCCAACTGAGTGGGAATAATGTTCAAGAGTAGATGTGCTGGCTTTGAGAGTCTATAGTCTCTATCAATTAATTCATCATCATCCAAAAGGAAGTGTCCTATTCTCTCAGCCATTAGTTGAAAGTGAGGTAAGACATTTTCAATTATCTCATGCTCAACGCAGCCATTCATTTTCAACCGATGGAAATCTCTTATGTTGCCACATACAATCTGAAGAATTTCATATTCATTTACAGAAGGAAAAATTTGTTCAGCACGATACTTGGATAGATGATGGAGATTCAGAAGGAGAAAGTCCAACTGCTCCTCCGTCATGGCGCCACTTGATTTAGCAAGATTCTCCATCACCTTGCGAAGAGCAGAAAACGACACCTGCCAAAAGACCAAACATTCATCGAATTTCCATATCTATCGTGCAATATTTTGCTCTGTACAGGCAACTAAAATAGCTGCAGAAAATTTTCAAAGAACCAAATGTTTCGTACACTTTTCGTTTGTCCCAAAAAAGAATATCACCTTTTTATATTTAGAAATAATTTTGCTTTATATTTTTTTTTAACCCTTAATGAGATAATTTATAGCCACATATGTTTTATTTTTATACCACAAGTTTAAAAAAATCTTCCTTTCTTTCTTAAACTCTATGCTAGTCAAATGGTGTCACATAAATTGGGACGGAGGAATTACTATTTATGAATCTTAGGTAGAACTTGATAAAAGAAATTCTTGATTGATATAGGGTTGAATAGAGCGCGATCTTGAACATAGGCATTAGAGATTGATATGCGAATAAGGATACAAATATACCTATTCGCATTTCTTAGCCAGTTAGTGCAAAGGTCGTTAATGCATTTGTGCATTTTTTATCCCTAATCTCAGGGTTTAGAACAAATTGAATAAGATAATAGGAATTGTCAAATTTCTACGAGTATTATTATTCTTGCAGGTTAATCCAGATAAATTAATAAGCAAGGTCAATAGAAGAATTCATAGGGATTGTTAGCTGATCATAACACTAAAATATTATTTCTTATTGAATTAAAATCTGCATGCTAAGTGTGTTAGTTATTTATTTTCTTCTTTTATTTTACGAAGTTTAATTAGTAGAATTAAAAAAAAAGTTATTTTGAGCATGTTCTTTACTAGATAAGTTAGAGTCAGTTGATAGTTAATCACAAGTCCGCAATTCATTGACGTGTATACATGAATGTGCGATTTAGGGCAACGATACCCTAAGAGTGAACAAATCCCTATTAGTCACACTGGTGCTTCTTCAGTATTCACAAATAAATCACTGGAGAATGTCTTATACATTCCATATTTCAAATACAATCTGCTATCTGTCTCAAGGATTACAAAGGAATGAAGTTGCTTTGTTGCCTTCTTTCCTGATTTCTACATTTTTCAGGATATCTTGAATGGTAATGTAATGGGCATTGGTGAAGTTGAGCCGAGCTCTAATACCATGTTGAAGAAACTAAGGGGAATGGAATGTCGACCACAGGGTGAGAGAATCTTATAAGCCATAGAAGATCAGAAGTGAAGCAGAGGAAGAAGAGAGAAAGGGAACACAATTTCTTGATAATATTGGATAATCTGATTGTATAGAGTAACTGCACGTACTTATATACAATTCACTAATCACTCACTAACTACTTATCTCTAAAATAATGTTACAGCTATTGACAATTGTACTATTAACTACGGAAAAAGGCCTAAACTATCCCTATCGTTTGCTAAATGGTTTATAAATACCTTCCGTCCATCTATCCGTTTAAAAAACACACGACGTTAATTCTATTAAGAAAAATACCCCTCGACTAACGACAGAATTAGTGGGTCTTTCATTTAATAAGGTGACAATTTTTAACTGGGCCACGTGGCATTATTGACCAAGAATCAAATATGGGTCTTATTTATTACTCATTTACCTGATCCGACCCATTTACCCATTTTTCGTGCTAACAAAACGGGCTTAGCAAAACTGCTGGGCGGGTTACTAAAACCGATTGATTCTGCCTCTTCTAGCTACATTATGTACTTCAAGCAAAATGTATTTATGTTTCATGGCTTCCATACAATAGTCGTCACTGCTTCGAGATCGAGAAAGTAAAATTATGTTTCAGGTCGTGTGCTTGAAAACCTTTTTTATTCTTATAATTTTTAGCTATTAAGTCAACTTTTTTATGGATTGTATTTTCCACCGTGAATATCAGAAGTTAAAATCTTCATAGAATGGTGGCTCTCAATGAGAGCTACAAGAATTACATAGCAAAAAAGTTGAGATAATACATCATGGTTTTCACCAGTAATAGAAAATTTTCCCCAAATTACATCATGGTTAAAACTTGGGCTTTTGCTGGAGGAGTCGCCGACAGATTCCCCACCGAAGGATCGTCTCCATTTTTCTTACCCATTTGATTCCCACCCAGCCAAAACTTCTCATTTCTAACCCATTAGAGGAAGAAGGAAGAAAGAGAAAGGGAAAAGATTAAGAAAAAGAGATAATAATGGGTCGGGCAAATAGTTGGGCGGGTTTGGTGAATGGGGAGAGTATTTGGATTCTAAACAAGAGCCACGCGACCCAATAAAAAAATGACAACACATTAGACATGGAGCACACGTGCTGCACCGTTAAAAAGAGTGGTACTTTTAGATATAAAAATAACATGGTGTGTAATTTTAGACGAATAGATGGACAGAGGGTATTTCTAAACCATTTAATAAACGATAGGGGTAGTTTCGACCCTTCTCCAATTAAATTTTAACAATGGACCTAACTTCCATAATGCCTTAACATCTCAATAGTGTACAACAAAAAATTATATTCAAATTGCATATAAGTTGTAGTTTTCGACTAAATTCGAATATATTTTGTTAAATATTTGGTTACTTTCTATAATTAAATAAAAAAACCAAGTTAAAAATTACCTATGTTTTAGGTAAGTGAAATTACTGCTGAGAGTCCCATTATCATCAATTCAAAGGCTTCATCTTACGAGAATTCTTAAGAAATGTTGTTGGATGGTGCATGGTATTCTTACTCATTACATACTACCAATTGTTAGATCTGATTTTAATGATGCAAATAATATATATTTATTCTATGTGCAGGAACTCGTGGACAACATTCAAAGACTGAAGGAATCAATCAGAGATGATTAAGTTATCAATGGTTAGCTACAAGATGGAAGCAATCAATCAAGAAAATTAAGGAAAGCAATCTGGGATTAGCAAAGATCAAGCAATCAATGGACAATTACGAGATGGAAGGAATCAAGGAAGGCAATACGGAATTAGAGAAATCAATCAAAGCCAAGACGGAATCAATCATGCCTATACTTAAGGAATCAAATAAATCGAGCGTATCCAAATCTGGAAGGTGCAAGATCTCGGGAAACATATAAGGAAAATCATTCAAGTCTTTTGTAAACATAGCCGTTGATGTATGACCTTATTCTTGGAAAGAATCAATTTCTCTTCAAGGATCAAATCTCTTGGGTTGGCAAATCTCTCCAGAAACCAAGCTTCTCTCAAAGTATTTAAACTTGTATCTGTACCCTAGAGCCATATACTTTGATTGAACCAAATACCTTCTCTTTATTCTACTATAAACAAACATTGTAGCTCTACTAGATCTGATGTGTAACAAGTTAGAGAAGAAAGAGAGAACAACACTGGTGATGCATTGTATCAAAAGAAATGAGCGAAATAGGAACTGAGCGATCGGTGTAGATCACACCATTCTCTGTACTCTCGAAGAAACTCATTCACTGAAAAAGAACTCCCTTGTAACCTAAAGGGACTGGACTAGGATTCACATTGAATCTGAACCAATATAAAACCGCTGCTATCTTTAATTCCAGCATTTAATTTCTGCATCTTAAAATTCTACTAGTATCAAGTTCTTATATCCAACCGACTAATCGTAAAACTAGTCAACTGACAGTGATATTAAGTTTAAAAATAAAAAATTCACCCCCCGCTCTTGTACTTTCAATTGGTGTCAGAGCAAGACTCACACTTTTCTTTTTTGCTTAATTGATTGTGAGAAAAGATCATGGCTAATCAAGTTATCATAGGAGCACTTTTCCAAGAAGGTACTTCCTAAGTAAGGCCAACATACTTCAATGGATAATATTTCTCCCACTAAAAAGTACGTACGGATATATATGCAAAGGCATATGATGTTAAAGTGTGGAGAGTCATAAAAAAGGGGAACTATCCTCTGCCGGCTGATGCTCAACCTCTTGTTGATCCTGAAGATATAGACTCATATACAGATGAGCAAATGGCGGTTGTGCAAGTCAACAACAAGGCAAGAAATTTGCTCTACAATGCTATAAGTGGTGAAGAATATGAAAAAATCTCCAGTTGTGATACGGCCAAAGAAATGTGGGATAAGCTTGAAGTTACATACGAAGGAACAAACAAAGTGAAGGAAACACATATCAACATTTTGGTTCACGATTATGAACTCTTTCAGATGAAAGGAGGATAATCCATTGAGGAAATGTTTTCCAGATTCAGTAAAATCATTAGTGACCTAAAAGCTTTCGGCAAACAATATTCAAGTGGTGATCAAATTAGAAAGATCCTTAGAAGCTTACCAACCACTTGGAAAACTAAAGTAGTCACACTTGAATCACATGATCCGATTAAATCATCTTATGATGAACTTTGTGGAGAACTCATAGCCTTCGAAAAGACACATCTCAAGAAAACAAACCAAGCAGAAAAGAAGAAAACAGTCGCATTCAAGGCCACAACTGAGATAGTTGAGAATAATATCAATGATGATCTTGAAGCTCTTCAAGAAGAAATTGCTATGATGTCAAGAAACATGGATGGCTTAATGAGAAGATTCAGGAATACAAGAAGAGGAAGGATTCCACCTAGGCGAACCAGGAAATACAACATAAAAGATAAGAATGATGGAGAATGCTATGAGTGTGGAAGATTTGGACATATTCAAGCCAAATGTCCAGATCCAAAAAGAAAAATCTCCAGAGGTTTCAACAAAAATAAATCATTTGGAAGCTGGAGTGATAAAGACATTTCAGAGCACGAAGAAGTAGCAAATCTTTGCTTCATGACAATTCTGAAAAACGATATGAACAAACTTTCAGGATGCTGGACAGATGAGGATATTTCAGACGACTAATGCAAAGATAACAATGAAAACTGCTTCATGGCTCGAGGTGAAACAAGCGAGTTAAGGTCTTATAATTTTGAAAGATGTAATGAATTGCAGGATATTCTTGATCTCACTTTGAAAGAGTCTCAAAAAATGATGGATGAACTAAAGAGACTCAACAAAGAAGTAAAATACTGGAAACTCAAACATGAAGTATGTGAAATCGAAAAAGAAG